GCCCCCTGTACCCCTAGTGCCTCCATGCCCCCCAGTGCCCCTGTGTGCCCCCATGCCCCCTGGTGCCCCAGTGCCCCATACTCACTTCCCGCGGGGCCGAGGGGGTTCAGGGCTCAGCAGCGCCTTGTACTGCGTCGTCTCCATCCGCACTCCCTTGGCACTGGCCACGTCCCTCACAGCCTCCTCCAGCCCCTCCTGCATCCCTGGGACCACCCATCAGCCAGTCAGGGGGCAGTGGGCAGGGTGTCCCCGTGCCCCCCCAGTGCCATCCTTACCCTGCATATGGAAAGCCCGGGCCCAGCTCACTGCCTCGGTGTCCTCCAGAAGTGCCCGCAGGGCCCCCTCATCCCGGTAGAACACGGCCAGCTGGTTGGTGTAGAAGCCCTTGGGGTCCTTGTGCTCCTGAGGGGGACACAGGGGCTGAGGGTGGCACACCAGTCCCCCCAGCCCCATGGGACATGGGGTGCTGCCAGGGTGGGGGTACCTGGGGTAGCACCTCTGGGCGCAGACGGGTGAGCACGATGCGGAAATGGGGCCAAGAGTCCACCAGCACTTCATGGGTGAAAGGGTTGCCCCGGGCCACCGTCATCACAGTCCCCAGGACCTGCAGGACAGGGTCTCTGTCATTGACAGGGCACAGGAGAGGGGACAGAGGAGTTCCCACCACCAACAGGGCAGGGGAGAGGGGACAGAAGGGTCCCTCGGGTCCTTGTCACCCACAGGGCAGGGGGAAAGCAGAAGGATTCCCAGGGTCCCTGACACTGGCAGAGCAGGGGAGAGAGGACAAAGGTGTCCCTGGGGTCTCTGTCACCAGCAGGGCAGGGGAGAGGGGACAGAGGGGTCCTTGGGGTCCCCATTACCGGCAGTGTGGCAGGCAGGCTCTTCCGCAGGGTCTCCTCCAAGAGCTGGAGCTGGGCTGGGCACTTCAGGATCAGCATGGCACTGTGACCATGGGGCAGGCAGTGACACTGAGGATCCGTGGGGCACTGGTGGCACTGGGACAGGATGTCCCAGCCAAGCAACCGTCCCCAGACGGTCACAGGGCTGGCCCTGTGCCAGCACCCAGAAGGATGGACCCTGTCCCTCAAGCCAGGGGGCACTCACTGGTCCGTGACGGCTGGCAGTGGCCCTGGGTCCTACCATTGTCTCTGCCTGCCACACGATTTCCAGGGTCCCACTCCAGGGTGCCCTGAGACCCACAGATCCAGGACTGTTGCAGGGTGAGTGCTGGAGAGGCTGGGGACCCCGGGAACAGGGACAA